TTATTTTAAATTTTTTCCTTTTAAATTTTATTATTTTTTTATTTTTTTTCCCGGGCGAGTGGAAATTCTCGGGGTTCGAACCTGGGTCCTCCACATTTCCAGACAGGGTCCTAGTATGCTGGGCTAGCTGAAATCTTATTAGAATAAGGATTAGATGTAGTATTTGTAGAGAGTAGTCCTCCGGCATAGGGGACCCTGCGCTCTGATTGGCTTCCCTATAGTGGCCGGCAGTTTGATTGGACGAGGAGCATTGTTTCTGAGTGAGAGTGATAAACGCGGCAAAATAACACGTGTGTAAGAATCGGCAAGATGGCGGCCGCCGAGAATGGAGACGTCTCTCCATATGGCACCCACCCTCCCCACCTCCCTTATGGAAAACCGGAGGATATCGTGCGGTATACGTCATCGCCCCATCGCCCCCCTTAGAGGAAAACCGGGAGATGTACGGTATATGTCGCCCACCCTCTTCCACCCTTCCTGTTGAAAAGAGAAAAATCGAATATCGCTAGAATAAAGCAAATGATATGATGCTACATGAACACGTGCGTACATGTACGGGCAGGGTTGACCGAATAGCTGAGACTGCTTGATACGGAGTCTTAGGACAGAGGCTATGACGTCACGGAGACGCCGGGATTTTCGACGGCCTTGCGTAATTCGCAGGACACCCACGTACCCTCGAATTCGCGTTCCTTAGCATTGTTATGCGTACAGGCCGATTGTGACAATGTTTCACAGCAATTGCGACATAATGCAAAAAGCAATTTTTCCTGCACGCGATATGGGAGTACAGGATGAAATAAATCACGCGGTGGAAGTACTTTGCACCGTATGAGACCTTCGATCGTATTAAAATTATAATTCGGTGCCCTCCCGATTAATGCGGAACATTCCTCGCCGACATAAATATCAGGATGACCGATCGGGAAAGCACCTGTCTTCAAAACATACGGGTGCAAGGAGCATACGTCCACGTATCGTATTTTCTCCATACCTGTAACCTCATAGCGCGTCACAATATTCCCCGTGCGTCCACCGAAAAATGCATCGCGCGGATCGAGCGGAGGCGTTTCCACCATCGGATGGTTCTCGAGAAATTCACGCATTTCGCGATTATCTCGCATATCGCGATCGAAAGAGCACTCCCACTTTTCTATCACAAAGTATTTCCGTTGCCGAAGTCTCCACGAGATTGCGAGAGTTCGCTCGTAACGTGAGTCAATCGTATCCTTGCAATCCGATGTAGAAAGTGGTCTATCGCGATTCATATGAAAGCAAGGGCATCCGTGCCAAAAACATCCGTAAAATTGTAGCACATGACGTTGAGGCGTCTCTGTATCAGGCGTTTCGTAATATCCATCGACGAGCGTGCCGTCGATTGTACGATATTCGCGCGCGCGCCCTGCGTGGTTTATAGAATGTCCGAGCTCGCGTTCCTTCCATATCAACCACTGCAGAGCTTTACGGGAATGATTGGTTGCTTTTCTGTATCCGCCAGTTGGAATGACGCCTATCGTATTTTGTTGCAAAAAGTTTTTCCTAAAAACAGTCATGCACGTCGAAGCAATTGTCGTGCATTCCTCGAACGAACATACATTTCCACGAAAAATTTTTCTGAACTCCATACATGCTTGTCGAAGAATATCAACGTCGGTACGACAATAGCGAATGATCTCACGTTGGAAATCGAACACGATGTTTTTTTGTCGCATATCAGCATGCCATACAAGAAAGCGTTCGCGCTCTTCCGATTTCATTGTCTCCGGAGAATAATAATGCACGTCAGGCAAGGGGCCGACATACGACTGATTTTCGACAGTGTTAAACAAATGCGGAAAAATGCCTTTATCCGACGTATCCTGTAATCCGAAAGCCTTCGGTAACTCGGATAAGCGCATCGGCATATAATTAACACTGTCGATGAATTTCGTATGTCCTACCGTTAACACCACGATCTTTGTACCGTTTAATATTAATTTAGGTTCTAAGTTATTACGATTTTCAACAATATACTTTAAAATAAATTGCGCGTCGAACGCTTTCGCATTATGTGCAATGCAAATGATCTGCTTGAAGTATTTTGTCGTACGCGTTGCAAAATCGACAAATTGTTTCACAGGATCATGACGAAATACGAACTCTCGCACCCCGCACCATCGGCACCTCGCGGACAAATTATTTTCTTTCGCGCACGCTTCGCAAATTTGTTGCGCCACGCAAAGAGTGGGAACGTGTTTTTTTACAGTCGACGTACCTTCGAGTGACTCGTATTGTCGCGTTTCAGAATCGTAAAATACGAATGCTACACGCTCTTTTTTGCTCGTGCATGCACGCTCGTTTGCCACTTTACCGTCAAATTCTGTGCTCTCTTCTGTGCTTCGCATAACTGTCATCGCCGGAGCCATTGCCGATGATGAAGACGACGGTTCGGTAGAGGAGCCATTATCACGTCTAAGAGGTTGCATGTAGCACAAATGATTCTCAGGCTTTGGTGAACGGCATAATTTGCAGTAAGAAACACCGCATTCGTGTCTCGCACCAAATTTAACGATGCGACAGCATCCGTCGCAAAACCGCACGACATTGCAGATACTTTCAGATGATTTACCGTCGTACGATTTTACGCTGCGATGACGCTCGAAACACTCCTTACCGAAAAATGTACGATTACACACGTTGCATTTTATACTTCCGGACTGCTTACACGGCGGCACAGTGAAACATCCGCGCTACTACGAGAGCGCGCGGAAAACATAAATTGTCGGAATTATTTATTGTTACTATTGAGCGCTTCACAACGTCTTCGTTTGTTAATTTAACATGTCCGCGACCCGAAGGAACCGTGACATTAAAAACACGAATGTTAAAGTGTTCCGCGATATCGAGCCCCCCAGCACTCTGCGCTACTGAACTCACGAGTTTCCAAATATCTTCATACGACATATCTCCAGCCGGACGAAAGGATAATCTTGCAGGGCCCTGAGATAAATTCGCCGAATGGAAAGACATTTCCACATAATCTCCCGGTTCGCATAAATTTAACGCATACGCATGAATTTCACGAAACGCATTTTCTAATGCGTGATAAATATTCGAACCTTCGCGTATCGGACGTATCGCGAGACTCACTTTTCTCCCGATTATGCCGAACCTCCTAAATTGTTGCATATTTTCCGTCAATAAATCTACGTAATATTATAAATAAAATAAAAATTACATCTATGTTATTTTTATTCTTTTTAAAATTTTGTATCTCATTTGGTGATGTCATGATATCAGCTTCGCTGTCGTTTTCATCGGAACCTGCTCTTCCTAAAATTTAATATTTTATCAATATTAAATATAGAATTTGTATAAAGATTAATATTTTTATTTTATTTTTATGCGAAACTTACTCGAAGGTCCTGTTTCGAGCTCTTCTTCAGCTGGACGTTTTCGAAGCTGAGAGGGAGTCTCTCGTTCATCAGTCGCAGTCGTGTTTCGATCTACAAATTATGATTTTGAAAATTTTGATTAATCACTGTCTAGCGTATTCGATTACATTACAATTGTACAATATAAATATAAACATTTTGCTTACCGTTTAAGCGGTTTCCTCGATGGTTTGATAGCAGGAAGGCAATAAGACCGTCTGCATCCTCCTCCTCGTGGTCAAATGCCTCGCGCATTTCTATTATCTCACCCGCGATATGTAACAACTCGGCATAATTGTCGAAATAACCTAGCCTATATAGCACAGCGAGTATAGTATTCGAACTAGCACACGCAAATGCCCGAAAAACTGAGTAATTTATTTCCGATGATTCGTCCGATAACGCTGATAAATAGCGTTCACTATTTAACGTAGACGACAAATTTGAGCCTATAATTATGCACTTGCCTAATACCTCTTTAAAGCCGGCCATTTTTGTCACTTACTCACGAAATACACGATATCGCTATTTTCCGCGGAACGACTCGCGTTACTTCGGATGATGTCAAACTCGAAATTACCTTTTTTACTTCGACGCGGAGAATTTATTTAAATGCATATCCCCACTTTTTTCCAAAAAGGAACGCCGTTGAAAGATTTAAAATTTTTTCTTTCTAGGTAGTTAGATTAGTTTAAAGAAAACAAAAAAACGCCGACAAAAAAAGAAAAAAAATCCCCGGATTTTCATCTCTTTAAAAAAAAAAGTAGACAAAAAAATATTTTATTTTTTATTACGTTATTACATTATTTACTTAGTTATATTACTTTTGTTATAGCGACCCTAAAGTAAAAGCTTTGTTGCGAAAAACGTTTTTAAAAATTTTCGTAGAAGAGACGGGATTATGTCAATTAGAAAATTGCTCCCTTATAAAATTTTTTACAATATAATCTCTTTACAATACAATCTATAAAAATTTATTACACAGGTGATAAACATTTATTTACGCTTTATAACATATTGTAAATGTATTTAGAGAAAAAGTTTAGAGAAAAATTTTTCCCTTGTAACGAATCTAATTTCTAGATGTTTCTAGATGTTTTCACGTAATTTTTAGCGTGATGAACAAGTTTGAACGTGAAAAATCATGATTTTTCCTGTTATTTGACTGTCTGCGCAAACTTTTCCCCCCACTTTTCTTTATATTTCGATATATAAGCAGCGCGAGAAGATGCGAATCCTTCATTCGAGTTTGCCCGTACGAAGTCTTCATTTCGGCTACGATACAAGAATTCGACATTGTTGTGACTAGTGTTCTCTCAGTTTTATTCAAAAAGTGATAACAATGGTTGCCACGAAAGAAGTTTCCAGCGATCAAAAGAATCTAACCGATTTTGTTAAATCTACACATGTTTGTGATATTAGCAAATCGGACAACAAGATCGACATCGATAGAAGAAACGAACAGCGTTATTTATTACTATCGACAACGTATGGTCTTAATTCATCGTGTACTAAGAAGCTACATGTGGGATTGCAAGCAACAAACGAAGGTTATTTCGCACCAATTGTTAAATTAACGGGCAATTATGCGGACGGAATTTGTCTCGATACCGACACCTGCCAGCAATTTCAACTCAACATGGAACAGATGCGACTGTACTTGAGTGAGAATCAAAAAACCAAACCAAGTCCGATTATAGTAGGGTTATAGGGCCGGTTCTAACTCAGGTCCTCTTAGGGGAGGTGAGGGACGGGGGGTCCCGCGCGGGCGAGGGAGCATGACGTCACGCGGGCGGAGGGGGATTTTGGTGGCGCGGGGGAATGACGTCACGCGGGCGGGGGAGCTTATCGCGGGAGCATAAACAGCGCGGT